GCCGTCGCCTCCTCGGTGGCGCGTCGCCGCAGCGTGAGGCCGCCGCCCGCGTCCTGCAAGATTTCCAGAGGGGTGAAATTGCTCTGGCTGAGTTGACTGAACGGCACCCGTTGCGCCATCAAAATCTCTTCCGGGATGGGGTGCACGAGGTTTAGCCTCCACGTGTCCAAGGGTTCTCGACTGCTTTTGTAAAAGGTGAACTCCTCGCGGGATTCTGCCAGGCTGCAATCACTGTCCATGTCCATCGCGTCGTCCTCGGAGGAGGAAGAACCCGGACCCGGACGCTCCCCGGGAGATTCAAACACCACTCCTTTAGGTACATTCGGTCGAACATATTGGCGCCGAAGTTTTACCGATGATCTGCTCCAGTTCTCCGGCAGCCTCCTCATGTAGCGTTGCACCGACTCGGGCACCAGGACTTCACGCCTTTTGTAGGGTAATAAGGTGGAGAGGCTTGCCGGGATGCCGTTGCCAACGATGGGCAACAGGGAGGAAGGTTTGAGCCCGGAGACAAAGTCCACCAGCTCTTGATAAGACGAGTGGTCCGAGTAGGGCACCACGTGCAGTTTGGGGTGGAAGAGGGGGAGGGGCCTGCTGGTGGGATAGATGGCCAACGTGGGTTGCTCGCTGTTCCACCGGCACATGGCGGCAAAGGAGATCTCTCTCTGCTCCACAACGCGGATACGGCCGGCGCCCGGGTCGGTGGTGAAGACGTCGGGCAGCCCGAGCACTCTGAGGGTCTCCATCCTGTCAAAACTCACCTCGATCCAGGTTTGAAACTCCATGGCGAGCTCCACCAACAGAGACTCCTTTCCAAGGGCGTAGAGACCTGCAAGGGGCAGCACAGGACAGCGACACGTTCCGTCACCACACCTTGGGACTGGACAATTCATCCACTCACAATTTGTTGCGGTTCTCAAAACCTGTTTTGAATAAATAAGGGCACCGTCACTTGCTTTTCCGATAACAATTTCAACGTTTCAAATCGCGAAATGTTTTGGAGCATTGAACGAAGCAGTGGGGGGAGGGGAAAACACCTAAGACTACGGTGTGGTCCGGGTGGCTGCGAATGATTTCCTTGATTTGCTGTGCGGCTTGCTTTCTTGACGGGATGCTGCGGTTGGGGTCACAGTTGGTGTCGTCCATGTAAAGGACATCGATAACGGCGTTGGTTACCAGGCACAGCTCACGCAGCATTGACGGGGAATATCTGAAGTCACCTGAATTAACGATGTACCAGACACATTTTTGTGAGTTCAAGGACAAAAATGACACGTTATAGAGTATTTACGATCATTAAGAATTCAAACAGGAATCATACAAACCCATTTGATCACGTTCGGTTTCATTCATGGTGTGTTGAGACACTCACCGGTGTATAGAATGGTGCCAAAGTAGCCCTCGAAGAGGAACATGACCGCACCTGGACAGTGGTTGGCGTCGATCAGTGTGACGGTCATGTTTTCTTTGCCAATGTCATCCAGGGGCAGGAGGTATGAGTCGCCGATCTCCAACGGGTGGATCCACTTTTCCTTCACCTGCACACAAGAAAAAAGAAAATTTGCGACACGCCCATGTTCACATGCCAGGTTTTTGTGAGGAAATAAAATGCCACCGACCTCAATCATTTCAAAACTTTTTCCAACCATGAATGTGACCCATTACCGGTACAACTCAACAGCCCAAAACTTTGATGGCAAGTAGAAACAAACTGTGATAATACCATTGCACAAGTGTGCACACCCCCCCTTCTGGGATTGTGGTTGTGAATTAACCAATCATATTTTTATAGTTACATGCCCGTTTTTTTTTCATACACATCAGCCAGGCGAAGAACACAAAATACATTTCATACACAATGAAAGACAGTGATGGCACTTATTAACAAGTGTAAAAGAAGGGCACAACAGTACCATTACCAAGAACTAGACATCCCTCCAAAATTGTTTTTTTAAAAATCTGACGAAAGCCAGGCTCATCATTGGCTCAGTGTTATGTGCTGTAAGATGAGTGCCAGCTCGATACAGGAGACATACGCTGCCAAAATATGGTCTGTCGTTTTGATCGTTATTGTATTTTGATTTCAGCATTGCACTAAACAAGTCAGTAAGGAGACATGGTAAGTGGTTTCAAATTTGATTGTCTCATTTAAAGTAGGCAATTCACCCAGCGTGTGCAGTTCCACCTCCACCACCGTCCAGCAAAGATGAGAGAGCTCTCACCCGCAGCTTGACTTTGACCAGCGAAGCCGATC